AACTGAGCTATATCTAACTACGGGGAAAAGAATTTTAGCTGTAGTCCCAATTAGTCAAGGAAGAGCAATAGGCCCGCCTTTATTGATAATTTTCACCGCTGAATAAAGGTTCATATCTCAAAACGTATTGAGACCCTTTTGTAAAAAAAACTAGCATAATTTAAACATTTGTCATTCCAATATAAAAGTGATTCATTTGTAGCATTTATCTTATTAATACATCAGAAACAATACAAAACGTCGGTACACTGATTACATATTTTTGGGTATTGATAAGAAAAATAACCTCAAACTTTTAGCTTAGAAACATAAATCATATATTTAAAATCATTTTTTTATTATTTTCTGTTGCATTGTGTACTCCAAATTGTGAAAAATTGGGATTTTATTTTTTGGTGATTTTTTGACCTCTGTTAATGGCAGGCATAATTCAGCCGAAAAGCCGGAAGTATATTGAACGGTTATAATAAAAATTATTAGGGGACATATGTAGGTATGTTAATGTAAGGTCAAATATCGCTGCGCTATAGTGTGCTACCAACTCCTTTATTAGACGTCCTAGAGATTTCATACCATGGACTAATATATTTGTATGTGGCAAAGACATCTAGTCATAATCAGAAATAAGTTAACCTTGTCAGTGCAAAACGACGTCGCTTAAAGTAAAAATTGACGCAATTGTTAATCCACCGAATCTTTTTCGCATATATCCAAAGTCTTAAAACACAAGCTCCTGTCCATTGTATTGTCACCATAAACCATTTTATATCTTTTAATAGAGATAAAAATTACTTTGAAAATAATAACGTATCTTAATATCATTATCAAAACATTTTAACTCGATCAATATCATTTACTTATTTGTTTAGAAGAATATAAACTCGTGATATGACCAACTACAAACAATAACAACTTCTTTTAAAACAAAAAAAAAAGCTTCATAGCAGAGGCAAATGAAAGAGAACGTCGCTTAAATCTAAAACATTTCATTCCTTTTCAAATGTCAAATGTTTACTTCACAGGAATAAGGCTTTAGCCAACGTTTTCACTAGATGTACTCCACTATTGCAAGAACAATTGCATGTCACTGGCGTCGATTTTCATCATCTTATTTCAATTGTTTTCCATTTAGCTCAGCACGGGGCACATAGTATCGTCTTCTTCTGATACGTTCCTTTTCAAGGTACATTTTTGTCCCTCGATTCTTTTCTTTCTTTCTCTACAGTGCGTATCAAAAAAACGCAACAGATTGTTATCTTGGAAAAGCACAAAACCAGTGATAACAGCATTTAATTTCATTCAACGCACCATTAAGCCATGTGTCTCCTCTTTACAATGATATATCATTCATTGACATTGATATTTGGTCATGGTTGGGTGAGTAATCATTCCATTTGCAAGTGGGCCAAAATTAACTTCGGGCCAAGTTATAAACATTGCAAAAGTCAGTGTACCGAGCCCAATGCAATATTGGACGAAAACATAAAACCAATGCTGACTGCATCCTTTTAATTCAATGTATCAAAAAGCCAAATTACTCCTCTTTGCAATGGAATATCATTCATTCACAGGGAGTCATCTCTGGCCGAATAATCATTAAATTTGCAAAGTGGGGCAAAATTCAGCTCGGACCCAAGTTTAAAACATTGCAAAAGGCAGTACAAGGGGCATAGGGGCTATTGGAAGAAGGTGCGACAGGTATGGCAAAGACAGTAAAGTGTTCATACTCATACTCTTGCAAGAATACATCCTATACCCCTCCAAATTGCCACCACTTCCTTGCACATAAAGATGCGCTCATCTGTCCACGTTCAGCCCTGAATCATGTGTGGGTTAAAGCAAAGAAAAGCAGCCCATGGGCAAATCTTTCTCGAGGTTTTGCAATATCTGGTGGAGGAATTGTGAGCACAGATGCTCCTGAGATAGCTCCAAAAGAAAAAGTCACAACAATTAAAGTCAGTGGAACTTCCATTGGCACTTAGCCCTTGCACTGATTTTTTCAATATCTAAAACTTGGCGCAGAGCCGATTTTGACCCACTGTGCAAATAGAAGGATTTCTCAACCAACCATTACCACATGTGAATGAATGACATATCATTGCAAAGAGGAGAGACATGGCTTTATGGTACATTAAATGAAATTGATGTAGTCATTACTAGTTTTGTGATTTTACGAGATAACAACTTGTTGCGTTTTTTTGATACGCCCTGAATAATTCTTTTGAATTTCTGCATTAGTTTTGGTCATATTCTGCAACAAATTGTGGATTCCCGGGTTAGTTACCACTATTAAGACAGAAATAAAACAAGTATTAAGCGACGATATCAAAGCAACGTACCTTAATTGATGTAAAACTCAAGTCGTATGTGATTTGGAAAAAAGTTGACATAATGTTTTAACAATGACCAATTAAGTTGTTTATTTAGAATATCTTTCAACCGAATCGGGATATCCTAGATCTTTGATTAACCAGCTTTGCTTAGGCAAAAGATACAGGTGTTGTACTTACGCGATTGCTGTATTATTTAGGGATTATTAGGAAGAAATTCCATTTCCTTTGACTGCAAATAAAGTATGGCGTATCATGAGATCACGTGATGATCTCCTCCACTTGAGGTAGCAGCATTTATTGCTGAGTTATCAACTTATTTCGCACTTTCCGTAACGTACCTTATTGCAACGTACATGAGGAAAACGCATTACATGTTCCAATAAAGCAATATAACAGAGCGAACAAAGATAATGAGCACATTGTTTTGAATGTCCGCCTTGTCATATTCAAGAATTTACTTACTAATTCCATCAAGATATTACAAAATGTTGAGAAATGTTGTAACGTACCTTAAAATCCTTATCTTTTGAATTGAAAAATGAAACCTTTATGACCTATAACTTTTGTTCTGGATAGACAGTTAGATAGATACAGTTTTTAAACTTTGCATGCATTTTGATAAATCATTTTCTGATAAAATATAACTCTGGGTTAAACATTTAAGTGATTCGTGCATTCTCTAGAAATTGAAATATCTAAAGTGGTATTTTAGAAAACAAACTGGCGACATGGGTTCCGGGCATCTGATCATTAGGTTGGAAAGGATTAAGCCCGGTATACACCAATGGGGCAAGTTGGGACCTCCATAGACTTAACATTGCGTGGGACCTCGTGGGACCTTTTGGGATTTTGCCCCTTGAATTAAATGTTATAATGCTATTAAACATAGAACATGAACTTTTGAAGTGAAGTTCAGGGAGTTGATTTATACAAACATTTGATATCCAGCTTTTCAATCGTTTCAAGACGTTTAATATTAAATCATAAACAACTCCGAGATATCGGGTCGGCTTAATCTGGTCTTCTCAGGGTATCCTGTTTATAGTACCGGATTAAGTACGAACGACAGAACGTCCCATTATTTCCACATTGTTACAATTCAATTTTCGCTGATATTGAGAAATCAGAGGTTGAAGTTGAGGTATTTTGAGTAGTTTTTTTTCGTAAAGGTAATCATTTGTATATTATGTAAGCCTTGCGGAGCAAAAATCATTGATTAACAATCAATAAAACACATTTTTTATGGTTTCTTGTTTTTGAAATCTGAAAACTGAATTTTATTCACTTCGATTTTGTTATTGCCTCGTATACCATTGTTCTGCCCATCTAATTATTAGTGTTCCATTGTGACTGATAAGTTACTGGATGAGCTTAATTGATCCATGTTTTTGCTTACACGATTGCATTTTTCTAAATATGTTAATTCTGTGAAATATATCATTTCTCATGGATTTTGAAAATAATAGGGTCTTATTTTTCAGCATCTGTGAATTATTGTCATTTATATCCCCTGACTAGTTTTATGAGGGGGTACTATGATAATCATCAATAATTTATATTATTATCATATTATTATATACCTTCAATCACATTCATATTTCTAGGGATAATGCATCTTTATAGAATTAGTTGCTATGACACGTTTGATCATAATTGGTCAAGTGGTTGCCATAACAACACAACTTAATTGCGAAAAATTGTAAATATTTTGATTAAATCCACCAGATCTTTAAGAGGTACATGTCAAAGGTAAAAAGGCTACTATAGGGTCAGTAATTGATTAAGTCCAGTGAATGAACTTTTTTGTTATAAATATCGTCAAATCTGTTTTCTTTTGTGTGTATTTAATTTATGGTCTCATGATTTATGAACTCTTTTGTTAATTACCTGCAAAGTATACTCGTAAGAGATCGTCCCATTATTTCCACATTGTTATAAATATTAGTCACATGATCAAAATTATGTATCTGATTGGCTCTGCTACTTTCCAAAATGGAAATGACAAGGTGGGCCTAAATTTTTTCCTCATTTTGCACTTACAGGGTGATCAATAAATAAGGTAAAAGTATCTGGCATTTTGTAAATATTGGTTGAAACATCCTGAAATTTGGTCAGAATGTACCTTGTACATTTCTAAATTAAAACATATAAATACATTACTTCTGCCATCTGATTGGTTAATATTATAGTTACTATGGCAACTGGAGTCGGGGGTACCCGGGGCAATTTCATTGCGTCCAATTTGAACAAAAAATGATAAAAAGCACATCTTTTTCAAACTGAAAAAAAATAAACGTGGGTGCCAGCATTAATTGTTTTAATACTTTGTTTACATTGTTACACATTTTCTTGCAAATTTGATATTTGATGTCACGGAAAAGATTAATATATAATGAAAACTGATGTAATCATGGAAAGTCTATGACACAGGTCAATGATGAAAAACAATACCCATAGAAGAGATTTGATGAGAGAAAAGAGGAAGAAGCTAAGACTAAGAGGCCTGCAAAACGTTTCACATTGCACTGGGATAATGCTCCATCTCACAATGCTATTCTCACAGTACAAACCATTGAAGCTCTGTGTTTCCAACTGTTAGGTCAAGTACTTTACTCTCCTGACTTGTCCCCTTACGATTTTACTGTCATGGTGAGCTGAAGAGGGAGTTAAGAGACTTTCTCATGGGATGACTTGAAGCCAGCTGTCTTGAAAATTTGCAGGCTATGGGAAAATGGGTTTAAAAGGTGTTCAAAGACTGAGTAGAAGTAGAAGACATGAACTATATGTTAAAAACAAAGGACATTAATAAGCAGTTATGAAGTATGAAATAAGAATATGATATGCCATTTTAATTGTGATTTGAAATATATTATCAAAAGTGTTTCGACTGAAAATTTAGTTTTTTGATAGTTGCCCCGGTTCTTCATGCTTTCTGTTGCTATGGCAACTATAACTTCAACCTATCACATCACTTTGATCTGTCACTTAATATATCAATTCAATAATGTTTGAACATTATTCTGTGCAAATTTTATGAGGATTGGATAAAATCTGAAGAAATGCCAGATACTTTTACCTTATTTATTGATCACCCTGTATAACAATGTGGCACTGGATATCTCCAAAAGGATATGAGATCCATTGAAATGGACCCCAGAAATGAAAACCTTCGTGAAAAATTGAGGAAGATACATGTAGTATAGTTATCTCAAAACCTGTAAAAGTGAGTAATAAGAATGTTGAAATAATGGGACGATAATTCAAAATCGCGTTCAGTCTGACAATTAACTAGTATGGTTTCTACGTCTAGATGACTGCTCATAGAAAAATTGGCGCGAATTAAAATTACATCTTATTGTTGGGCCCAGTAAAAAGAGAACACAGGTATCAACATATCTCCTTTTATATAATTAACCTGTTGATTAACCTCTTGAATACCAGCCTCTAAAAAGGGTTTGAAACCAGAGCATTTTTCATTTTTTGCCATTTTTTGGATATTTACATCTAAAAACGCAATAGTTGATGTTTGATTTCATAAGAATAGTAAACATAGACCCATTACATTCATTTTAAAACATAATTTGTGAAGATTGGATAAAAATTGCCAAAATTAGAGCAGTTTTAGTGAAAAAATCTGTGACAGATATAGCTGTCGCTCTGTGTCCCAAATGGATTTTATTTGTGACAGATATATCTGTCATTCTGGGTATTGAAGATGTTAACAAATCGCTGATAAGTCCATTTGGTCACAAGTACTGCCCTGGAAAATATACCTACTATATGGAAGGTCCATAAAAAGAAGGATGTAACAAGGGGAAGCAGACGGAGCGACTGTCCCTCGTCCAAAATATCTTTCAAATCCATGTAGTTATCACCATTTTAGCACTATTTGAATAATCTTTCAACGCTTTTAAACTAGTTTCCCCAGACAGAAACCCGCGAATTATTAATCAAGACCGATCAGATTACGCGTCTGAACAATCACTTATTGTATTGCTTAGACGTGCCAAGAGATGTCAAGAGTTGGTTTAATCGCGTGCTTAGAGGTATCAACAATTGTCACGCCTAAGCACCCGGTGTGCTTGGACTTGGAATCCCATACTCCACACATAGTATAGTTAGCTACTGTATTTTGTTTTATCGCAAAACCTATCGTATAATTTCATTTTTTGCGAGGGCATCTCATTAATAAATCGGGAGTTTCGAACGAAAATCGGAAGTGTATCATTTAAAAATCGGGAGTTTTACTTAAATATCTGGATGCTCGTTAAATATTCGGGAGTTTTGAACACGAAATTGAGATTATATCATATTTTATGAAAAAATCGGGATATTTTACAAAAAGATCAGGATAGTTTCTGAAAACCCTGATAAAAATCGGGGTTGATAAAGATCAGGATGAGCAATAAAAAACGGGATTTCTTCCGATTTAAATCGGGATTTACAGGTAAGGGATAACATATTTTTGATTGATTATATAGCAACGTTTTTATTAATGCAAACCTACTGTCGTTAGATCAGTGTCGTTAATGACGGTTCATTTCTGATACGATTTGTATCTTATAAAGGTTCCAGATGTGATCCAAAACGTTTTGTGCTTTCAAAATAAAGGTTGTGTAAAGAAGAAACTAGACAACAGCAACGCCAAAGCGTAGCAAATTCCATCGAACAGCCATGGCTGGAATTTTTACAAACAGAGTAAATAGCAAAAATGGCAGCCATTTTTCAAGATGGCCACCTTCTACCAAAAGTGTCATTAGACAGTGTGCCGTGCTTAAAGTATTCACATACCAAATACTGTATGAACAAAATCGCTCCACTACTTTTCGAGTTATAGTAAAATATGTTAAAATGGTGGCCATTTTTCAAAATGGCAGCCTTCTACCAAATGTGTCATTAGACAGTGTGCCATGCTTATAGTATGACCATAACAAATATAAACAAAATCGCTCCACTACTTTTCGAGTTATAGTAAAATACGTTAAAATGGCGGCCATTTTTTTAAAATGGCCGCCTTCTACCAAAAGTGTCATTAGACAGTGTGCCATGCTTATTGAACTAAAATACCAAATATGAACAAAATCCACTACTTTTCGAGTTTCAGCAAAAATTGTAAAATAACGAGTAAAGGCCGCCATTTTTCAAGATGGCTGCCACGTGCTTCTTTAATATCTAAATTTCTAGTTTTTATCGTACCTAACAAGAGGTACGATATTGTAGTCAGCTTGACGGGCGGCGGGCGGGCGGGCGGCGGGTGGCGTCTCACTTTTCAGCTTGTCTACAGTTTTCCAGCCAAACCAATTGAGGGATTCATCTGAAATTTTCAGGGATGTTTCTACATATCAACGTCAAGAACTGATTAGTTTTTGGGCATTCTTGGTAAATTTTAAGGCGGCCATTTTGGATTTTCCGTCCTAAAATCTTCACTTTCAAGACTTGTCTACAGGTTTTCAGCCAAATCATTTAAGGGATTCATCTGAAATTTTCAGGGATGTTTCTACATATCAACGTCAAGAACTGCTTAGTTTTTGGGCATTCTGGGTAAATTTTAAGGTGGCCATTTTGGATTTTCCGTCCTAAAATCTTTACTTTCAAGACTTGTCTACAGGTTTCCAGCCAAACCATTTGAGGGATTCATCTGAAATTTTCAGGGATGTTTCTACATATCAACGTCAAGACCTGATTAGTTTTTGGGCATTCTGAATAAATTTTAAGGTGGCCATTTTCGATTTTCCGTCCTAAAATCTTCACTTTCAAGACTTGTCTACAGGTTTTCAGCCAAACCATTTGAGGGATTCATCTGAAGTTTTCAGGGATGTTTCTACATATCAACGTCAAGAAATGATTAGTTTTTGGGCATTCTGGGTAAATTTTAAGGTGGCCATTTTGGATTTTCCGTCCTAAAATCTTTACTTTCAAGACTTCAAATTTTTACATATGTTACACAGTGATAAGTTCTAGAGCTGATTAACTTTTCTGCGGCCATCTTGCTTTCTTGGTCAACCAGACCACAATGCTGTGTTTTAGGTACGATATTGTTCACGTCTGTGCCTTGTTTTGATGTCCTATATATTTTTTACATTTAAAACATATTGCTATTACAGTTTTACATATTGCAACTGAATAACTGAAAAATCGGCACTAAAATGACCGCAATTTTTAAATGAGCAGCTATATTGAAAATCGGCTTTCGAGCAAAAATTCTACCCCCGTAGGGTATATGTGTACAAAATATGAACAAAATCGGGCTAACGGTATTTGAGTTATTGCCCCGACGGACGGACGGACGGACTGACGGACGGAGGCGTTCCCTATATCCCTCCGAACTTCGTTCCATGGGATGAAAATGTTTAGTGATATGCATAAAGTTTGTTGATGTACGTTAAGCATGTACCATGCAAAATGATACAATCATACCTTAAAATCAATCTAAGAAATCGGTTGCCTTAATTAGGTTTTTATTGACCTAATTGAGGATTTGGGTCCATGTATGTAAAAAAGTTCTCGAACAAGCTGCTGCCACCTCGTTCAATAGTTTTTAACTATGAGCGCTTTTGTTTTCTAATTTTCCGTCTAGTTGGCATGTATCACTGAACCAAATAGATAGTACTCACTCAGCTGTTCATGATTACGCGTCTGAACAATCACCTATTGTATTGCCTCATAAATGCATACCATGAATGTATCATCACGATCATACTTGTAATATTCCACTAAAATTTAAATTTTCCATAAAATATCATTGTTGTAATGTTCCTTTTTTGTTTTTCACATTTTCACTTTCAGAACAAAATTCACATTGAATGAACTAAATAATTCATAAATCAAGGCAAAATATGCAAAATTGACCGAGATATTCAACTTTCTTACGGTCCTGTTTTTTTGGACACCCTGTACTTAAACCGTTTGGGGTCTATTTACATCGAACGTACTTGAACGGGTAGGTCCTCTAGAACTTAGAAAGTGACAACGTACTAACGACGAGCTGGACGTACTACGAACGGAACCGTCATACTTCAATCCTACTAGGGACGTTTTTACAACGAGTTGAACTGTCTGAGGACGTAAATTTCTTTTCGGGCAATGTTTGGAAGCTTTTCTTTACCAGAAAAAATGCCAATTTCAAAGAGACATGGCAAATTATGAAATACACTAGTAGGCTCAATATTTAGATTATATATTGCATAATGCGTATTGATATTTCGGGATGCGATACAAATCTGATGTTTTTAAATTCACTTGTGCCTCCAAATATATAATCTACCTAATGTCCAAGAAATGAGTTTTATCAATAACATTATACAAGATTCAAAAGGGGAAATCTTTCAAAGAAGGTGTGCTGAATTGTTGACTCGGTTTATAGTAAAATTTGGACAATATCATCTCTTTCATAATCATATGCCAACTCATCAAGATCTCTTTCTCTGAACTCATATTAGGATCCGATATAGTTTAATCACAGGCTGGTATCGAAAGATTGGTCCGCTGTGACGGAGCATGCTATTTTTCATAAAAAAACACTAAGAATGCTTCACGATTTATTTTTTAACTCATATGTTTCGTTATATCAAAGATAATTACTTACTCCATGCAATGGATATATCATTTGCGTGTAACCTTCACTTCTGTTTGAAGTCCAATAACGCTAGGAGTAAAATCTATTAAAAACA